GCTTAATTAGCCCTACCATCAGAAAAGGTGACTGAAGAACAAAAATTTGCTACAGCAGGTGGGCAGGTGGCAGCGTAATATGACTAGAGCTACTACGTCAGCCACGGCACGCGGAAGGTCGGGCGGGGCTCGGGTCACTCCGCTCGCTCCTCTCAGGCTTCCTCTGTTCCCTCGTTACGCTCGCGACCGCCGCCGCCCTCTCAGCCGCCGCCGCCGCCGCCGCCTGGTTCTCCGGCCTCCGCCAGCAGCCTCAGCAGCAGGAGCAGCGGCAGCAGCGGCGACGACGACCGGAAGCGGGTGAAGGCGGGAGCCAGAGGGAGTTCGGGGAAGCGATCCTTCCGGAAGTGACGTTTGACGTGGGCGGGACCTCGGCGACAAGGGGGCGGGGGCGGGGACACTTGGCCGCCGCCCCGGCCGGAGGTGAGCGGGATGGGACCTGCGCGAAGTGTTTGTGAGTCCCGCGAAGGTAGGCACGGAAAACTTTACTGGTTTCTTTGTTTATTTTAATTGTCGGTTAGCACTACTTTACTTGAGCTGACTTCTGATTCCTAACCATCTAAACAAAAGTGTAGTTTTACTTTTTTAATTGCTCAATAATAAATGTAGGCAGGCAATGTATGCATGATATATTAAAGCACAAATCAGAGCAGAAAGGTTTATGGTATCACGGTCTCCCAGTTTACAAATTCCCCTTTCCAGGTGGAACCACTGGTACCAGTTTATTGTGTGTCCTTCTAGACTACAGACAGTCTCTGTATACACACATAATGCAACAAATAAACATGAAAAAAGAGATTAATAACCACCCATGTTACAAGGATGACTATTGAGTTAGAGGTTAAGAAACGGAAGCACAGAGGCCCGGCCGTGTAGCTCCGTTGGTTAGAGCATTTTCTCCATACTCCAAGGTTGTGGGGTTTTTTTGTTGTTGTTGTTTTGTTTTAAATATATATTTTATTGACTTTTTACAGAGAGGAAGGGAGAGAGACAGAGAGCTAGAAACATCGATCAGCTGCCTCCTGCACACCCCCTACTGGGGATGTGCCCGCAACCCAGGTACATGCCCCCGACCGGAATCGAACCCGGGACCCCCCAGTCCGCAGGCCTATGCTCTATCCACTGAGCCAAACCGGCCTTGGCCAAGGTTGTGGGTTTTATCTCCCATCCCGGCCCATTCAAGAACCAACCAATGAATGCATACGTAAGTGGAACAATAAATCAATGTTTCTCTCTCTCCCTCTCTCTCTATAAAATCGATTAAAAAAACAGGCCGGCTTAGTGGTTGAGCATCAACCTAAGAACCAGAAGCTCACAGATTGGATTCCTGGTTAGGGCATATGCCCAGGTTGTGGGCTCGATCCCTAGTGTGGGGCATGCAGTAGATAGCCAATCTATGATTGTCTCTCATCATTGATGTTTCTATCTCTCTCTCCCTCTTACCTCCTCTCTGAAATCAATATATATATATATATATATATATATATAGAGAGAGAGAGAGAGAGAGAGAGAGAGAGAGAGATACAAAACACTGAAGCACAAGGTGCCTGAAAAATCTAGATCTGGAACCCTATTCTTTCCTCCAAGCAAAAATACTGTTTGATCTCAAAATTTGCATTCTTAAATATTATTAAGGATCCCAAAGACCTTTTGTTTGTGTAGATTATATCTATTGATAATTCCTGTATTAAAATTAGAACTGAGAATTTAAAAGTGTTCATAAAATGTCATTACATGTTAACATATTTTTATTTTTAAATTTATATTTCCCCCCAAAATTAGTGAAAAAAAGTGGCATTGTTTTACATTTTTGCAAACATTTTAATGTCTGCTTAGTAGACAACAGCTGGATTCTCACATCTATCTCTGCATTCAATTTGTTGTGATGTTTTGATTCAAGTAAATGAAGAATACCCAGATTCATACAGGTATGCAATTGAAAAAAGGTACCCTCACAGGTTCCTAGACCAGGTCTCAGCCCCTGCCCCCCAGAACACACTTTGAAAACCGATGTTCTAGGCAGCATTGCCTCTGCCCCCAATGTGCCCAAGATGGAATTAAAATGATAATCTTGGGTACCGTCAACATAGTTATTTCCCCATTTTGTGAATGAGGAAAGTGAGGCTGAAATATAAGTGTTTAGCCCAAGTGAAACTGCTACTACTTCACTACTGAGAGAGCCAAGCCAGCCATGTGATTGGACTATTGGAACTTTCAGTCCCACACCCCTGATCACAGGAGGACAAGGGACTGGCGATTGAGATCCGTCACCAATGGCCAATGATTTAATCAATCTTGCCTTTGTCATGAAGCCTGCACTAAAACCAAAAAGGACTGCGGCAGGAGGAGTTTGGAGAGCTTCCTGGTTGAGGAACACTTGGAGATTTGGAGAGAGTGCCACACAAAGAGTGTGTGAAAGCTCTGCACCCTTACCCAGTATCTTCCCCCAAGCATCTCTTCCATCTGGCCATTCCTGAGTTGTATCTTTTTATAATAAACCGGTAATCTAGTAAGTAGAATGTTTTCTAAGTTCTGTGAGTTGCTCTAGCAAATTAATCAAACCCAAGGAGGGAGTAGTTGGAATCTTCAATCTATAGCACAGGTGACAACTTGGGCTTGCGATTGGAATCTGAAGTGGGGGGAGGGAGGCCTGTCTTGTAGGACTGAGTCTATAACCTATGGGATCTGACACTATCTCCAAGTAGTCAGTGTCAAAATTGAGTTGAATTGTAGGACACCCAGCTGGTGTTGGAGACTTGCTTAGTGGTGAGGAAAAAACCCACACGTTGAAATTGGGAGAAGAATCTTATCTCTGAATGTTTTGGGGGACTGGGAAGCTGCCGATGTAATTGTAACAGACACAGTACCCCTAGATCCATAACTGATGTGCTGCTAGGATTGAACCTGTAAATTATACCATATTTGGGCAGCCCTTTCTTGGAACTTTTAATATTTATTAGTATAACTTGATTTTTTTTTTTTTAATGGGAGTGCCTGAGTGTCTTTAAACCAGGTGTGCTCTTCCTGTAGTCTGTTATTCCACTAGTTAGCCACCCTGGCTTCCCAAAACTCATTCCTTCTAACTCCACTGCAGTCACCTTATGCCCTCTTCCTCTGGTTCTGTCTTTCCCAGGGGCAGAAGAAGATTGTTTGCTCCCCACCCTCCATAATGGGGCCACCCACACTAGATCTCTATCATCATAAAGATAATAGCCCCTTACTTTTGGATAACACTTTTCCACTTTACAAAGCATTTCTAGACCATTATCTCACTTAAACCGAGCCACAGCCTATAATGGAGGCAAGCTGCTTATTACTCTTATCTACATTCTACAGATTGAGAAACTGAGACTCAAAGAGGTTATGACTTCTCTGAGGTCATACAGCCAGGACCCATGGAGCTGTGATGGTCAGTCAATGAAGTGCACTGGCCATCCTATGCACTTTCTCCTGGACCTGCTGGCCTCCTGCATTATAAAGAGGGGAACTCTTTATCATCACCTGTGCTGAACTCATTGGGAGGTGAACAGCATCCATTTCCTGAGCTTCTGGAACATAAGAGACAGACTATGTTCAAAAGGTGATGATAATTGTAGATAACATCTAGGCATCTAGGCTGAGTCAGGTGCTGTACTAGGCCTTCTAGAGATCTTATCTCTAGTACTCCTAACCGCCACAAAAGGGTAGATGTTATTATGCCTATTTACAGATAAGGAAATAGCTTCAGAAAAGCGAGCTTGCCAAAGGTCACATGCTGTATCTCTAGAAATTCTCTGGCCTCTCACTGTGGTTGGGAACAGTCCGCTGTGCCCAGGCTATGACAGCAGACATGCCTTGGTTCACATGCTAGCTCTCCCACCTGCCTGCTGTATGACCATGTTCTCGCATCTGAAACATAAAGAGGAGGAACCTCTCATTCACAGAGTGCTCTCCTGAGATCTAAATGTCAGGCTCAGCCAAGGTCTGGCTGATGGGAATGGTGGTTAGGCACCAATGAGATCCAAGAAGGTGCCAGGAGCCAAGAGGCTGGGAGAAGCGGGGCAGGTAGGAAAGCAGCATGAATGGCAGAGGGGACCATGCTTCAGTCTCAGTATTTCCTCATTTGGAAGTCTTGTCAGGTGACTTGTCAAACGCCCATAGCTGTAGATTTCAGAAAATGAGGTATTATTTCTTCAAAGTTACTTAGGCATAATACACTGAGCGGCCAGATTTTTATGACCGGCCAGATTATTATGACCACCCCATCAGTACAATGAAGTGAATTAGTTATGCAAATAATAATAATAATAAAACCTTGAGAGTATTTTCTTAGGAAGTTTTCAATATTCAGTATTTTTGGAAGTGTCAATGAAGTACTGATGGGGTGGTCATAATAATCTGGCCGGTCATAATAATCTGGCCACTCAGTGTAAAGTCTTCCTTTAAAGCCTGATTATTATTTGCCTGTTTACTACAATTCAACACTTAGTTTCTCTCTCTCTCTCTCTCTCTCTCTCTCTCTCTCTCCATCCCAACATTTAGTAGAAGATTCTTCATGGCTGCAACCCTCCCTCTATTACCCGTGGCCTGCAAGGTGAAAGTGGACAGTATGCTTAAGGCCGTACGAAATCTGGTGGCATGTGCCTGTTTTTATAGTTTGAGCTCCAACCAGAAAGAGCACTGTCATCCAAACAATGAATGGTGCCAGCAACAGCCCTGAGGCAAGGTACAGGTATACAGAGCTTGGGAGCCAAGAGTGGGAACTCACCAAGTTGAGACAGAGATGCTCTGTTCCCAGGAGCTTCTGCTCTCTCTTGGGTGGAGCTGTCAGTGGAAATTCTTTATGATGACTGAGTGGGCCCATGGGGTTCAGAGTAGAAAACTCTGATTGCCTTTGATCTGATTCTCCATGTAGGCTCTGGACTTGCTACCTGGCTTTCATCTCTCCATCAACTAATTCATTCAAAAATACTTACTCAGCTCCTGGTATGACCCTGGCTCTAGATTAAGGCGAGAACAAGGGCAGACCTTGTGAAGCTTCCACCTGGCCATGGGGTTCACCTGCCTTGGTGAAAGCCCCTTGCATCCAGTTCTTTGGCTGGATTTGCATGGGGTTATTCGTTCATCCACACTGAACAGGCCCATAAGCCCTGGGGTAGCAATGGCTGGCTGTGTGTATTGGATTGTGTCACCACCCTCTCTTCCATGGCTTCCCATTACTCTTGGAATCTTGAATAAGTCCCTCCCTGGTCTGGCCTCATCTCCTGCCTTTCTTCCTCTCACTTTTGGTGTTCCTGTTTCTCAAATGGACCATGTTCCCTCCCATTCCAGGGCCTTTGCACTTGCTAGTCCCTTTGCTTGGTTCTCTGTGGTGACCAGACATTAAGGTGACCCCATGATCTTCACTTCCTTGAGTGGGGGTGGGACCTGTGACTTGCTTCTAAAAGAATATGGCAGAGGTGACAGAATGTCACTCCTGTGATTACATTAAGTTATGTAAGACTCCATCTTGCTAACAGACTCACTCTAGTCTTCCCTCCGTTGTTGGCTTTGAAAAAGCACGCTGCTATGAGTCCTACAGTCACAAGGCAGTGAATTCTGTCAGCAACCTGGGTGAGCCTGGCAGTGGCCCCTCCCGCAGTTCCACAGTCAGGCCTCCATGGGAAAATGCAACCTGATTACAGCCTTGCATAGCACCCAGCTTGCCTGTGCGTGGACTCATGACCCACAGAAACTGTAGATGATAAATGTATTGTTTTTAGGCACTAAGTTTGTGGTTAAAAAACAAAGCTGTCAATTTGTTACTATTTTCTGTATGCAGCATAGAAAACTACTGTATTTCCTAATATCTACCCAGTCGACTCTTACTCATCCCCCGTCATTCCCATCCAACTCCGACGGACTTTCTCAGGGCAGCCTTCCCTACCTCTCTGCCAAGGCTGCTCCTCCTTGTTGGAGGTGCTCATGCCATTGTGTATCACTTCCACACAACCTGTACCATCATAGTTATGATTATTTAATTAATATTGCCTCTCCACTAGACTGTAAGTGCCATTAGAGCAGCTATTGTGTCCTCTGCTTCTCTCCAGGGGCTGGCACAGTACCTGTTGAGTAAATAAATGATTGGCAGGACATTCAGCGTCAGGAGGGGTGCAGGAAGAGACGGGCTAGATTGTTATTCCAATAACAATGACTGGGGGGAGAGTGCATATTATATTCCTAAAAACTCACTTTTATTGTGACATATCTGAACAACTGAAGCTAAAAGTGTATTTGGGGGTGTCTGTGATGGAAATAATATGTGTCCATACAGTTGTCACACTGGGCCACCCCAGGAGTTGGCATGAGTGTGTTTCTCTTGGAAACTCCAGGCTCCTTCCCCCTTCCAGAAGAACTTTCTGTATTTTGACCACCAGGCAACTCTCTTAACAATATTCTTCCCATGAGTTTCCACCTTCCTCGTCAGAGGAGGGAAGTGCAGGGGGAGAAGGGAAGGGTGTGGTTAGGTGGAGGGAGCTCCAGCTTGGCAGTTTCAATAAGGCCCACAAAATGCCAAATCACTGCCCCCGTAAAAGACAGAAAGGTGAGTACATGGGTGCTACGTACTGAATCATATCCCCCCCAACTCATATGTTGAAAACCTAACCCTCAATGCAATTGTATGTGAAGATGGGGCTGTTAAGTATATAATTAAGGTTAAAAGAAGTTATAAGGGTGGGGCCCTAATCCAATAGGGCTGTTGCCTCTATAAGAAGAGGAAGAGATACCAGAGCGCTCTCTTCAGCATGTGAGGACACAGTGAGAAGGTGGCCATCTGCAAGCCAGGAAGAGAGACCTCACCAGAAACCCAATCACCTAGCACCTTCATCTGGAACTTCCCAGCCTCCAGAACTGTGAGAAATAAGTTTCAGTTGTTGAAGCCTCCACTCTATGGTTTTTTGTTATGGCCATCTGAGCAGATTAAGACATGGGGTGATCAGAAAGCTCCATTGTATGTTGAGGGGCTACAGAGTTTAAGCCTGTGCTCTCTTGTATCCAACTGTGTTCCCTAACTTTTTGGCATCAGAGTTGAAACATACTCAAGTCTCTACAACAAACATGTCAAACTCGTGGCTGGCGGGCCACATGACAAATGAGGCATGTGGCCCTCCGGCCGTGAGTTTGACATGCTTGCCCTACATCTTTATAAGCATCCCTCCCTAGGTCCTAAGGCCCTTCTAAGGTCGGGCCATGTTTAACTCCTTTGTTCCAGCCACACTTCCTGAAGGAGTTGTCTGTACTTGCTGATCACTCTTTACCATTCATTTACTGTTCAGTCACTTCACTTTGGCCTCCATTGCACAGAAGCTGCTTTGATGTCCCATCCAGTGGACACTTTTTGGTCCTCATCTGACTGTTCTCTTTTTCTCTACCCTTTCTTCTCCTTCGCATTTATCTCTTCTGTGTTTCTTCGTCCCTTCCTGCCCTCTCGCTTGCTCGCTCAGATAAAGCAAGCTGCATGCTGAAGGAAGCTCTGTGGAAAGACCACATAGCAAAGACCTGAGGGAGGCCTCTTGCCGACAGCTTGTGAGGACTCGAGGTATTAGTCCAACAGCTCAGAGAACTCCCTCCTGCTAGCAACCGTGTGAACTCAGGAGTGAACTAGGAAGAGGATTCCACGCCTTGAGAGACTGTAGGAGAGTCCGAGCCAGGGGACCCGCTAAGCCACACCCAGATCCCTAACCCATGCAAACATGGCACAATAAATGTTTTTAGCCACTAAGTTTTGGGTAATTTCTTATGCAGCCATAATAACTAATACAGTCACTCAATTGATTTCTCAACCTGCTAACAGGTAATGACTTGTAAATTGAATAACGCTGATTTAGGTTTAGATGCAATACTGTGCTGGGCATCAAAGGGAGAGTCAAGGATGAATAAGATCTGCTTATTGTCTTCAAAGAGCGTTTAGTGCCTTTTGAGGATCTAAAAGTTTAATAGGCTGCATGTATTTCTAGGACAGGGTGTTCCACTTGTCCAACGACAGTAGAAGGAAATGAGAGGTTCCCTCAGGCTGAGATACACAATGTGGTGAGCACTGAGATATGTTGACTGCGGAGTCCTTAAGGGGAAAGCAGGCTTCACAGGAGGACCCGAAGGGGTTTCCACATCCACAAAGGCTTGGAAGAGAGAGGATGAGCCGATGAACAAGAACTCTGCTCAGGGGAAAAATCAAAGAGGCCACAATTGTATCTTATTTCCACTGTGGTTAGAGCCTGAGAATTAGAATTACTCAGTAGTGGGGGAGGAGTGTGTAGGATGACAAGGGCTGTTATGAGGATTAAATGAGTAAATATGTGTAAAATGCTCACAGCAGTGCCTAATGCAGACTAAGTGACCATGTGCTGTTATTGTCCTCTAGTCCAGGCCCCGGCCATGTTCACGAACAACTTTCAAATCACCAAACCCAATAGTCCCCCCAGTTCTGCCAACAACAGCCCTTGATATTGATTCTAGTTCATTGTTAGACGGGAAGTGGTCCCATCAGGGCTCTCAGTCATCTAAGTTGAGCTGTTCTCTCTGCCCACAGGATAGTGTCCTTTCCACAAGTGCCCTGAGGATTTATTTTTCTCAGCAAGGGGTAGATCCTCCGGGAAACAGCCAAACAAGTTTGTCATTGCACAAGAGGTTTCCTGGTTTGCAAGGCTTTCCAGGCATCAGCGGGCTGTGTGCAAGCCCTGGCAAACATCTGAGCCTCTTTCTGTTCATAGGTGAAGGGTATGTGGCTTCCAGTTCAGGTGACCAGGTTTGGACCAGGGCCTTAAAGGGCCCAGACCTCCAAAGATGCTCTGGATTTGTTCATAGGAACCCGTTTGGGCCAGCTGAGAAGCCTTAGTGTGACTTCTCCTTGCACAGCTCTATCTTTCTGAGCCCTTCCTTTGTTATTCTGAAACTGAAGGTGGCAGTGGGTATTTTGTAAGAGATAAAATTTTGCCAATTGATCCTGTTCCGTGAAATCTGTGAACATCAATGGTTGAAAACCTTAGAACTGTCGGTAAATATTTACTGAGCACCCACTAGGTATTGTGGGATTATTTATTGAGCACTGAGACACATTGCAAAACCAGCTGCAATTCTCTAGCCATCCCTGTATCCATGTTCCTTGCAATGTGACTTTGCTGCTCTTGCCATCAGAACATGGAGTCTGTTTCCCCACCTTTTTACCTGGGTTGAACTTGTGACTTGGTTTAGCCCAATGGTTCTCAGTGTGGGACACATGCTCCACATGGGGGACAATTTGATTTTTAAGGGGGGCAATTCGAGAATGAGTTAACAGTGAATTTTTTTGCATTTCTTATGGTTCTAGGGCAGTGGTCGGCAAACTCATTAGTCAATAGAGCCAAATATCAACAGTACAATGATTGAAATTTCTTTTGAGAGCCAAATTTTTTAAACTTAAACTATATAGGTAGGTACATTGTTATTAACTTAATTAGGGTACTCCTAAGACTTAGGAAGAGCCACACTCAAGGGGCCAAAGAGCTGCACGTGGCTCGCGAGCCGCAGTTTGCCAACCACGGTTCTAGGGGCTTCATATACAGTATATAAATATATATATTGTGACATGCATTTCAGTTCTCTATTATATGTTTTGAAAGTTTACTTGCTGGTTTTTCATATCACTTCATATTATTATTTTTTAAATAATTTCTTAGTGATTTCTTCCTCAGTACTTCAACTGTCCTTTCGTTCTTTTATTTTTCTCTTTCATGGATGCCATCTTCTTTGGAAGCTTGTTTAGACTAAGTTAATGGCCTTTTAGGCTTCCTCCACGTGAATAGTTCACTTTTTGAATAATAAGAATTATATGTCACGTGGGGACGGGGGCATCAGGATTTGAGAGATCTTAGATGGGGCATGGCCAAAAAAAGGTTGGGAACCGCTGGTTTAGCCAATACAATTATGGCAGTGGTGTAGTGCCAGTTTTTAGCCTAGACCTTGAGAGACCTGGCCTGATTCCGCTCTTGCTCTTAGAACCCCAAAGCTCCATGTGAGCCAGTCTGGGCTAGCCTGCTGGTGAAGGAGAGACCTGTGGCCCAGTTACCTCCGTCAGCAGCTAGCCACTCCCAGAAGCAGAGGCCTCTGGCTGCCTAGCCACTGACCCTCGGTGCATGTGGGAGTCCAGCTGAGGCCAGAACAACTGCCCAGCTGAACCCAAACTAAAATGCTGGCCCTTAAAATCATGAACTAAGTAGTTATTGTTTTGAGCCACTTCTAAGTTTGGTGTGTTTTATTATGCAGGAGAAAAAGTGCTGACTGATGCAAGCACTTACCGTGTGCCAGACTCTTGTCTATTTGAAATCAGGCAGAGCCGGTTCAGAGATGGCATGATACCTGGCATGATGCAGCAAGTGCTCTGTAGAAGCAAACAACCAGCAATAGAAGTGGCATTTGAACTGGAGAGACGTCCTGTCCACGTGGAGTTGGAGGGGCCATAGATATAGGGATGATGAGGTTGGGGAAAGGCTTCCATAGTCTTCCCGGGAAGGAGTCAGCAAACTTGGCTGCTCAGGCATCCTCGTGAGTGGTAACCCCTTGAGGACAGGGTCTGTGTCTGATTCATCTTGAGATACCCCCAGACACAGGGCCTTGACTGCACTAGGCATTCCGTTTTGAAAGGCTTTCTTTGGAGAGTTTTCTAATTCCCTTCCCTTTATTCCTACTCACCCAATTGTATTCGTTTTCTAGGGTTGTTGTAGTAAATGGCCACAAGCTGGCTGGCTTAAAACAAGAGAAATGTATTCCCTCACGGTTCTGGAGGCTAGCAGGTGAAATCCAGGTGTTGGCAGAGTTGATTCCTTTTTAGACACTCTGAGGCAGAACCTGTTCCTTGCCTCTTCCTAGTTACTAGTTACTAGGACCTAGTTATTAGGACCTAGTATGTGGTCTTTGTTCACAATCCTTGGGGTTCCTTGGTTTGTAGAGAAGCATCACTCCAGTCTCTGCCTCCATTGTCATATAACGTATCTATGTCTGTCTGTGTGTCTCTTTTCTTCTCATAAGAGCACTAGTCACAACCTACACCAGCATGACCTTATCTTATTATATCTGCAACTAGAGGCCCGGTGCACGACATTCATGAACTATTGGGCCTAAGCTGGCAGGTGGACATCCCTCTTGCAGTCTGAAGCTCTTGCAGTCTGGGACCCCTCACTCCTTACCTCCTACCTGCAGTGGAGGCGCCAGCCGTGAGCCCAGCTTCTGGCTGAGCGGCACTCCCCCTGTGGGAGCACACTGACCACCAGGGGGCAGCTCCTGCATTGAGCGTCTGCCCCCTGGTGGTCAGTGCACGTCATAGTGACCGGTCATTTCGCTGTTCGGTCGATTTGCATATTAGGGTTTTATTACATAGGATGACCCTGTGTCTAAATAAGGTCACATTCTGATGTACTGGGAGTTAAGATTTCAACCTATCTTTTTTGGGGAGGCACAATTTAACCCATAACATTCATCAAGACCCAGGGGAATGTGTGTTCCTTATTTGACTGACACAGTCCCCGGAGACAGAATTAAATGTTCTTTCTTCAGGATTCCCACACATTTAATACATGTTTCTGTTTATTAAAGCATTTGAGTCGTTGATCATCCTCACTAGCTGAGTTAGGGGCCGCATTTCTTTCATGTTCCCCAGAGAGCCTGGAGGAGGGAGAGTGAGTCCTCCTTAAATGAAGACCTGTGAAGCAGCTGTCCTGCCCCGAGCTGTCATGCTGGGCAGCGCAACCTCAACATCTCGTGTATTAATCCTCACAGTGACCCTGTGAAGTGGGTATTTGTATATTTTAATTCTCATTTTATAGAGGAGAACGAGAGAGGTGGAGTACCTTGGCGTAGCTAGAATTACTCTCTCTAAAAA